TCCTGTTCTGATATATCTCCTGTGCCCGACTCACGACATTTCAGTCGACACTTTTTTGAACCACATGTTATGAAGTCGAACCCGATTCATGACCCTTTGCGTTTCGCGATCGTTTGAATTAACTGTGGAATGTATGAATGAATCGCAATGGTTCGGTCTGATCTGTGGCTAGGAAACATGTTCTGACTCACGACTCAAATCCAGCACCAAATGCCACCGTTTCACGTGCCCGTCTCATTCCGGGGTCAACGGCTAGAGTGATGTGTCTTGATTTGGTATTAAACTAAAGCAATGCATCAGATGCAGTAGGATGTAGAATGTTGTACGCCTTTCATAGGTATATGTACGCTTCAGGAATTGTGTAACACAAATGAGGACTAACACGAACCAAATGACTGTTTTGTAAGATATGGGGCAAGGAAGCAATAAATCACGTTTGCTTATTTTAGGTACGTAGTTAAAGTTGGGCTGTTGGTGCTGTCGCGTCTTGAGAGTGGCCAAGTGTAATATATCATTCAGATGCCATTACAAGCAAACTACATTTCATACGATAACCACTCAGCATTAAATCTATTCTTTTTTGTACTTTATGCCAGGGCTAAGCACATGTGCTATAAATTTGATCGACGCCTTTATGTGAACATCCATCGGGTGAATCAGTTCAGCTCCTAGCAATTCGCCCTGCGACACAGAAAAAGCATAGCTTATGAGTTGATTCCTGATGTAATAAAAATCGAGTACGAGTTTGTCCAGTACTCACTGCGGCATTTCTGCCCTCTATTGCTGATACTGCGCCTGAGCTCCGTGTTCTTTCTCTCCCTGTGGCCGCCTTCTCCGGCACGCCTGGTGCTCCCGGGGCTCCACCAGTCTGCCGGAACGAGCAGGCTATGCCGGCGCGACCTGAAGCGGCCGAGGTCGACCTCCTCCACTGCTCCCGCTCCGCGTGGTGTTCCCCGGTGCTCCGCATCCCCGGTGTGCCCAGTAAGCGTCTCATTGTTGTCGCGCTCCCGGCTTGCCCCCGTTCCCCGTGTCCCCCCGGGCTGGCACGCTGACACCGGCGGCGGCCGTCGGCCGGGCGGCGTTATTTTTACACGGGCCGGCGGGCGGCGGTGGGTGGGTGGCTGGTGTCGGCGCCGCCTCGCCGGCCGGCCCCGCTCCGCCGCTCAGATAGGCGGCCGGCGGCGCGCCGTGCGCCCGTCTCCGCGGTCCTGCCCGGCCCAGCGCACCCGTGAGTACGCCGTCCCGTCCCGTCTCGGTCCGGCCCGGCCCGGCCCGTCCCGCTGCGGCCTGTCCCGTCCCGTCCCGCTGCGGCCCGACCGGCTGCCGGCGGGAGGACAGCCGCAGGCACGCCCGCCCGCCCCGTCCGTGGTGGCAGTTTGCGGTGCGTGTGTGTTGCGGTGTCTGCTGTGGGATTGGACTGTCACGAGGTTGTGAACGGGAATGTTAAGTGCGCGAACTTGCGGTCGCTGTTCAGGCTTAGTTTGTCGCCAATCAACTGACACAGTTTCTAGATATTTTGTTGAGTCACAATTTTCAACGACAGACCATTGTAAAATTGGTCACGCGAAGGTCTACGTCCGTCAGATGAGTATCCATTCAGCCGCGTTTACCCCTCATTTCATCTATATTGCAATGGCGTGAATGTTCCCCGGACGGAGCTTAGCTCTGTGCCTTTGACCTTGGCGCGATAAAACGGGCAGGGTGATGGATAGTTGGCGCTACATGACCTTGGCCCCAGGGCATGCTTCCAAGACAGCAGACCCGACGGCAGGCTGTGTATCGACTGCGATTGTGTGCGGCAAGCCTGCTGAAAACTGTTTTGTTTTGTAGTGTTTGTGCTTCTTGGCAGTGTCTTGCGCGGGCACAAACAACTTCTTGGGTGGCGGGTCCGGTGTTCGGTGCTATGATTAGCCAGAACTGCGGTGCACGGGACGTGTCAGCAAACAACTCAGACGGCCAAATGTATTTTAACAATTAAAAGTTACGGTACTCTGTGAGGAGAACCGCATTTGGATGTTCGACGTACCGTCGAAAAGTTGCTTTGGCGCCGTAGATTTTTGTCATTTTTAGTGACCTGCGACGCGAACTCAATTTCTAATCCCTTCCATTTTCTAAATCCCATGGCACGTGGTGCTGAGCAGCGGTCCGTCGGTGGCAGCTGCCGCCAGCGCAGGAGCGGGCCCGGCGACTGCCGTCCGTCTCCAGCAGGTCCGGGCCATGAGCTCGTGCCGGCCGGCCGTGCTCTGGCCGGCCGGCCGGCCGCCAGACTCGCCGCTGACGTCAGCTCTCGGCCGATTGTTATCGGCCGCCGTCTGATAACGGCGCGGTCATGTTGCACGCCCGATGGGCCGCCGAGGTCACGCTGAGGGCGTTCCACATCTGCGCGCCGTTACCCCTTCCTGCCGCGCCGGCCGGATGCCCGGGTGTGGGGCGTCGCCGGGCCGAGTGTGGAGAGACTCCCGGTCTGGTGGGGAGGTACTCCCGGCGGAGTGTGGAGATGCTCCCGGCGGAGTGTGGAGATATTCCCGGCGGAGTATAACGACACTCTCGGTCTCTCTGGAATGACTCCCGGTCGAGTGTGAAGTGTCTCCATGGGGACTGGGCGGAGCGCGTCCGGCGCCGCTGCCGGGGTGGTGGGAGGGCGTCGCCGGCCGGCGGCCCCGGCAGGCCAGCCCGGCTGTTCACCCCTCGCAGAGGATGCTGTGGAATGCACGCTGCACGCTGGTGCCCGTGGCGGGGCCGCCGGCCATGGACCAAACGATGCCGCCTGAAACTGCATGCGCGGACGACCGCTGGCCGGGCCGGAGCAGTCGGCCCAGCGGCGCCGTGGCCCGCGCCGGCTCTGTGACGCACCGCGAGCGCCGGCACCGCTGACGGCTGTTGTGTGCTGAAGGCCCGTCGGCGACCCTGCAGCCGTCGGCGACCTCACGGCGCCCGCCGGAAATACGCCGCAGTGGAGGTGGAGATCCGTAGTGTTGACACTTGTGAGCCCGAGCGCTGGTTTCTCTCCGTGAGTGACAGACCGGGATCTGCTGGACGGGGAGGGATCCAGACTTGGTGGAATTGCCGATTGCCTTCGGAGTTTCGGCTTATGCATCGGACAGCTCCCTGAGCCCGCTTGATCTCTGGTGAGATGTTTGGGCGGGCCCTGGGAGGAAGGGTGGGTGCGCGGCACCCCACGTGACGTGACCGGGCGTCACGCGGCCGGCCAGAGTATCGTAACTGGCTGTTCTCGTGGGCGGGGTGCGGGACCCGACCCTCGCGAGCCCCGCACCGTGACACGCTTGGCCACAGGGCTGTCCCGCGGGGTGGCCCGCGAGCCGTCCGCGGTGACACCCGTCCCGCGGGGCGCCCCACGCGCGCCGGAACCGGGCAGGCGCGCGGCCCGACTCGCTGCCACGCCTGGCTGGCCGGTGGTCGGCCGTAGTCACCGTTCTCGGCCGGGGCGCGCGGCTCAGCGGCTACGGCGCCCGGCCCGTGCGTCCCACGCCGTCGACGCCCACCGCTTCATCACGCCCCGGGCGTGTCGACGGTCGGTCCCGCGCCGGTTCGGGCTGCGCTCGCGCGTAGAGGCCGGCGCACAGCCGCCAGTGAGAACCGTTGTTGAGAACTGCTGGTGAGAACCGCCGAATGGGCTGTGAGATGTGGGCTAGTCGGGACGCCCGGAAGGCTCCGAACGAAGGGACGGATCAGGCGGACAGGCGCCCCGCGTCGTGAGCTTGGGTGGCTGGTTCGTTGGCAGGAGCTTGAGGCGCTGGTGACTTCAGTCGCACGCCTCCCACTTAGTTGGGCAGAGGTAGAATGCGAAGCGTGGGACTTGCGGGTTTTCGGAGCGCTGCATTTGTTTTCCGCATACCTTCAGGGCTAATCATTTGACGTTCCACTGTTTAGAGTGATGCGAGACTTATTTGGAACAAGCGAGATAGACGAGCGTGCGAAATTCTCGTGCCTAATTCAAAGTTGCATTGAATGAACTCAATATTTGGAACGTTTTTTCCTCGCTGCGTCCACAGAAATGTGAGATCTCGAATGTCATTTAGTTTTAACGGGGGCAGCCGCGCCCTACTTCACCTCGTTCACTCGGCGGCCTGTGCAGAGCACGCGCCGCAGACCTCTGCCCTCCCACGCGCCTCGCCCGGCGGCTTGTGCGGAGCACGCGCCGCAGACCTCTGCCCTCCCACGCGCTTCACCCGGCGGCCTGTGCAGGGCCGGCGGTGCAGACCTCCGCCCTGCCCGCGCGTCTCACTGCTCGTTTTTACGGCCCCGCATATCCGCTCCATTTCCGGCGGCGGCGGCGGGGGCGTCGGCGCGGTCGCGACGTTTGCGACGCCGCCTCGATCGGGCCGATCAAAGCGCCGGTGGTCGGCCGCCGGCTGGTCGGCGCTCCGCCGGCCAGCCGGGTAAACACGGCGCCGTCCACAAATACTCGGCGCCGTTCAGTCACGCGCCAGCGAGACGCGAGTGCAGCCGGCTGCCTTCGTCGAGAAACGGACGCTGACCCGGGCTCTAGCCGCAGCGCGAGGCCGTGGGACGGCCTGGCGACTGCCAGCAGGTCACTGTGACTCATGAGGTTTCACGCCGGTGGCCTGGTGTTTAACATGAGGTAGTGGGTGTGGCTCTGGTAAAGCGGGCGGGTCTCTGATATCACCGTCGGGTCGGGTCCCCCTGGCCGGCGAGGTGTCTCTCATTCTTGCCGGACTTTTTTAGGAAGAAGCACTGTGAGGGTGCGTTAACCTAGCCCTCCAGATTAGCGTTAATGTTGCATGACAAGTTGTCGGTGTGGTGCGATGCGGCTTTGGATGTTTTGTGAAGTCTTCAGGCGAGGTGCTCTTCATTGCTATTTACAATCCCTTGCGACGGCTTGGGAGATGTTTGGTTACGGGCATACTTTTGTCCCGCCTTTTAACTGTTCTGTTTTGTTTGGTTGATCCATGCATGTGTGTACGTTTATGTGGTTCTCCTTTTTTCTGTTACTAAGCATGTCTTCTGGTCCTTTCTAGGCGTCATCTCACTGCAACGAGTCAGGAGGTCGGGTGAGTTGTGCATGCACTCGACACGGCGCACCATGAAGGCAGCCACTGGTGGTCGAGGGGAATTTCCCCCCAATTTCCGCGAAAGTGTGACATTTAGGCTGTGGAGGTGCATGGAAAGCAATGGTTTTGCGAGTGAGTTTGCTCCCTCGTCGTCTTCTGAAAGCTTCTACGCGCTTGTGACCCACAACCGCGATATACTGGAACGCCGTTGTGAGGACTACATACGTGGAAGCGGTCCGTCGCACCACGCCTGCCCATGGCGGTGTGCCGTCTCGCTCTAGCTCTCCAGACGTTTAAGACGATATTAGATTCCGACATCGCCCTTTATATGCCTTCTCTGGTACAAGACAAGCTGTTGACAGTTTATACAGGGGTCCCATGTATATAACAGTAAGAGACAAGCTGTTCAAAGTTTATAGAGGAGTCCCATGGATATAACAGTGGGGGACTCTTCCCCGGACAAGGGACTGTGGAAAGAGTACCAGAGGCCTATTACCTTTTTCCGGTCAGGAGCCTGAAGAGCCTTTCTGTCCCAGCTCGACAGACTTGCCGCCTACTATCCTGGCGATACGGGATTCTGGGCACCCTGGTTGATGCAAACGTCCTCGGAGGAATGCATCACACAGCAGTACCGTCCCTGATGCACGAGACCCTTTGACCGAAACGGTTAGCCCCGGATCGGTGAGGGGCCTTCACTGACTTTAAAAGATCATTTATCAGCCCAGGGGATCCAATAATTGCTGCAAGAAACGCAGTTCGGGTTATCCGGTCTCTTGCCGAGGCTGTACGGAGTGAGTCCCCTGTTCCGCGCTGAGGTCACGTGACTGGGGCATGGCCATTCCATTGCCCCATTGTGCACCCTTTCATTGTCATTTGGCATGTCTGCCTTGGTTACCACAGGTCATAGACCAACGCGAGGGACCCCAGGGGTCTCGTCACTGTTCATATTTAGCAAAGTGCTCCTAACCGCCTTGGGGCCTCTTGTCCACACAGGATCCCTGGTAGTCACTGTGGGCCCCATGGGACCCCTTATCCACACAGGATCCCTGGTAGTCACTGTGGGCCCCATGGGGCCTCTTGTCCACACAGGATCCCTGGTAGTCACTGCGGGCCCCCGTGGGGGTCTCTTGTCCACACAGGATCCCTGCTAGTCACTGTGGGCCCCATGGGTGTCTCTTGTCCACACAGGATCCCTGGTAGTCACTGTGGACCCCATCGGGTCTCTTGTCCACACAGGATCCCTGGTAGTCACTGTGGGCCCCATGGGGCCCCTTGTCCACAAGGATCCCTGGAAGCCACTGTTGGCCATATGACCGACATAGTGGCCCCAATTGTTTCAGGAACCCCCAATCAATGTAAGAGGCATTCTGGCGTTCACGGCGCGTTTGCCCCTGCATGGTAATCAGCTCCCCAGATCGACTGTTGAGTGTCGATGGTCTCTTGCCGACATACGGGCCCTCATCGCCTCAGGAGGCCAACGATCGGCGCAGGAGGACCTCTGACTGGCATTCCAAGGCCCGGTCCCTCGGCTGGGGTCCCGTATCACGACCTCCAGTCAGCCGTTCGGACCTTTCAATGGGGCCCTAGATCACCTGCCCCTGAGAGGACGTACACGTGCCTCCTTTGCCCTGCGAATGTCCCCCCGCGCCGACCTATGACGAATCCAAACAAATAAGCTTATTTTCGTGGTCTTGGAGGAGGAGGAGGCAGGGCGAGGGGGCGTGGTACCATTCACCCCGTCGTTGAATTCGTCAGCGCCGGAATAGGAGCGCTGCAGCGTCATCACGCCACCTTCTCTTCCGGAAAAATGCGAAGCTTGACTGCTTAACTCTGCCAATAGGTGGCGGTGCGTATCGCAATCGCTTCTGGCAGCCGCGGCGCGCGGTCTGTTTATCGTACGATACGCCAGTTGCGCTGTGGAGTGTGGACCCTACAGTTGATAAATGGCTGATGCAAACACGGTCTTAAACTTGGTGCGCCTTACGTCGGCTTCCGTCGGATTTGTGGCGTGCCGGCCATGTGGGAGCGCAGCTGAGCTCCGAGTGGATGTGGCTGGGCGGACACATATTTCGGGTAAGAGCAAAGTTGCGCCTTAAAGTAGTGGGTTCTATACGGTCGGATTCCCACATTCATTGAGTCAAATCTTGGCGTGTGTGCTCGACCCCCAAAGTTGGGTCGGGTCAGAACCAACTAGGTCCTGTACAAAGTTGAGAATGTCCCGGCCGACGGCCCGATATGGTGCAACAGCCAGTTTATGATTGTATGTGCTCTGCCGAAGTTTTAGACGAGTTTCATCTCAAGCCGCAGCATAAATTCAAAATCGGAATCAGGGCTTCCACGCGACGTGGCCAACCCACGTGACCTGACCGGACATGTCCCGATCTGGCCTGACCTGACTCGACCTGACCTGACCTGACCTGACGTGACCCGTGCAGGAGCGGGCCGGGGCCGGTCAACGCTCCCGCGACCCCACACCGGAGCGCTACCAGGGCAACCAGGCCTGGCAAATCTACCATTCGCACAGGCAGCAGGAGGGGGCTGCGGCCCCGTCGGTAAGCGGCAGGAGCTGCCGGGCGGCACCATCCATGCACGGGCGCACCTACCCCGGCACAGGCGCAGCTAATCGGTCGCGGCACGCCAGACCACGGGCTGCGAGAGGCACAGAGAGCACGACGGCCGCTGCCCGATCGGCTGGTGCTGTGGTGCGACTCTCGGCACTGTGAACATAACAGGGCTTGGTTTGGAATCACCAGTGCTAACATTCTAAGGTGGCTGGGATGGACTTAGTTGAAACAGCTGGACTAATGAGAACTTAGTTAAAAGAGCTGAACTAATGTCAATAAAGCCGTTTGGACATTATGTATGCTGGTTTTGCGTGATATTTTTCGTGGACTTCTCCTTTTATGTTGAGTTCACTGAACCCTATTATCGGCATGATTTATTTTATTAGCTCCCGTTTGGTTGAGATCAAAGCTTTGACTGTGAGTTGAAAACCGAACACTTCAGGCACTAATCGCGCGAATGTGTCGACAAGACTGAATTTTGGCCTATGTGTTTCCCAGTGACAAGAATCGCACCCACGGTATGAAAGCATTGAGTAACCCGCCATGCCAAATTCGCCGTTTCTTGTAATTTCTTCCAGCGACTTCCAAATTACATGGAAGGTCCTTGACGGCGCCAAAGACGGCAACGTCGGAGCGACGAAGGCCACGTCCCGCGTGATTCGCTCCACGACGTGATCCGTTACGTGGCGTGGTCCGTGGCATCGCGTGATTCTGTGCGATTTTTGCCGAGCTTCACCTCAAGCTCACTTGTGATGTGGGGAGGGAGCGTCCATTTGAAAGGTGAAATTTGGTGTGATGTCATGCTGCAATTGACTCGTGACGGCATTGCAATCTAAGTGTTTTGCAACGTGCTGTTGGGATGTAGGCGGGAACTGCCGCGATGCAGTTAGGTGTAGAAAGGTCAGAACGTTGTACCGGGCCTGTCCCACACTGCTGACGCTTGCTCACGCTGTTTGGTAATCCCGAAGAGGCTAGGTCATGTCCTGGTAGCTCTTCACCAGCTGCAGTCTAGTTCCCTGTCTCAGTGATTGATCGCTCAAAGATCAGCTCTTTCCTGCTCACATCGTGGCCAGTTGCTTACATCACAGACGGCTGCTTACATCACAGACAGCTGCCTACATCACAGACATCTGCTTACATCACAGACAGCTGCCTACATCACAGACGGCCGCTTACATCACAGACATCTGCTTACATCACAGACAGCTGCTTACATCACAGACAGCTGCTTACATCGCAGACATCTGCTCACGTGACGTATGGCTGCACACTTCATATATAAGAAGCGGCATCGTTCTGGAAAGATTCCCGACGAAGTGGTGGAATGGCCAAGACGTTGTGTGTTTACTTGCACACTGAACAGAGACGATAGTCCAAACAATTTTTCTATTCGTGTTACGCACGCCTGGTCTCATTCTGTAACGTTGCAGCTAATTGTTGCCGACCCGACGCGGCATCCAGGTGACGAAAATGGAGAAAGTGGAGCATCAGGCTAGTGCGCGCAAAGAATCATCCGGCTTTTCGGTTCAGTTGTAGAGACGTTGATCGCGTACGGTTAAAATTGAAACTCAATCGTGAGCGAACGGGTCGGACTGATAGATGAAATAACGAGTCACGCTCTGAGAGGCGAGCTGGACGGACTCCACCGTTGGAGCAAGACAAATCTAGAAAAGTCATTATCAAACGTCGAGTCAAAGGCGAGGTCACAACTAGCGACGGATGAAGATCTCACCCCCATATGGAACTCACCACAAGAGCTCACGCAGCCAAAGATCAGAGGGTGAAGGAGATTCACGTCCAAAAGCTGGAGGAGCTCGAGAGCAATAACACAGCCTCAAGGACCGAACCGGAAGGACAGAACTTCGCTGCTTTGAAGTCGCGAAGGCACTGTCCAGGCATCGTGGCCCATATAGCAGAGACTGCAACGCGGGACGTGAGAAAACCGGAAGATGAGCTACACCAGAATGTCAGGCAAGCATCAGAAAGTGTCCAACCACAGAAGCCAAATGCGACAAAAGAAGAAAAAGCGGCCATCAAGACGCTGGATAATAACGAGATTGCCATCACATTCCCAGGTGACAAAGACCTTGCCACAGTAGTCATAAACAAAGAAGAAAATACTCGCAAGGTGAACGAACAACTTGGTGAGTGGTGTGACATGCAGCAAACCGAAGAAAGATTCTACGTCAGCAACCGAACGGAAATTGACCAGTCTCCTAAAGATGAACAAGGACGAAACAAATTATCAACATACGCTGCTCAATGCCAAAATCTAAATCAACATCACGGCAAGCTAACTCACATCTACGTACTACCAAAGATGTACAAGACCAACATATATCTAAGACACATTGTCGGCTTCGGACTCCACTTGCTGTCCGCTAAGCGAGCTCATGGTTAAGCGGAAAGAAGACAGTGATCATCAATAGAATCAGTCCTCCCAGGAGCAAGTCATTGTCATGCGTGAAGAAATCAGTCTACTCCACTTCAGTAGTACAAGATGTGCGTCTGACCAGACACAGGGCCTACAAAGAACCAGGTTCGACGTAGCGAGCCTGTGCAACAACGGACCGACACATGAAGCCGTCACCATTGTGCCGAACAGGTTGGAGACCGATGACGCGCTACCGAAAAGAGTGCGAACTGCCGGGACATGCCGGAAACCAACAGCAACCGGTCGCTGCGTGAACTTCCAGTCGCGCCACCTGAAGGCGGTCAAGAAAGGCATGGTGAGATGCCTTCAGTTTTGTGCAAATGTCGTCAGTGATGATGATGAAACTAGGGAAAGTGAGAATTAAGCCACTTAACCCAGGCACTCCGCAGGAACGGGTAACCAAAACACTTCTCAGCCTAGATGCCGAAAATCATCCAGAACAAATAGGGATGCCAAAATAATAATGAACTGCGGTATCATTACCGGCATCATTTTCATTATCAACGGTATCATTACCGATGAAAGGGACCTGTCAGACAAGATTATAGTGATTTGTGGACGATGCGATATCGGGTGGCCTTCAAAAGCGTCTCAACGCTCCGGGAAACGCTGACCAACGTCAGACCACCGACACCAAGGAGCACGTGAAGAACTGCACATACGACATACGACAGATCGGAGCAGATCCTCCATGGCAGAAGGGGACGTCCTGTATCGGTCGGACAGGAAAAACGCAAATAAGTAACCGTCTGAGGCGGAGGTCTGAATGCTGATGTGACAAAGCATACATGGTCCGAAGTCGATGGCCAGCCGGCATGGAATGAGATAAACTTCATGGACAGAAAGAAACACTGGAAAGTGAGACAAATCAAGGAGATCTCGGCAGCTGGTATCTGTTCTGCCCCAGCAGCTGCTGTTTGATTTTGTCCAAACAGCTGCTCCTTAATACTTTCCCGGCAGCTGCTGATTAGTTCTGTCCCGACGACTGTTGTTCGATCCGGTCTTGGCAGTTGCTGCTTGATCTTGTCCCGGCAGCTGCTGTTTGATCCTGTCCAGGCAGCTGCTGTTAAGTCCTGTTCCGACAGCTGCTGTTGGTTCTATCCAGGTCGCTGCTCCCATGCCATCCCGGCTGCTGCTGTTTGATCCTGTCCCGGCAGCTGCTGTTAGTCCTTTCCCGGTCGCTGCTCCCATGCTGTCCCGGCAGTTGTCTGCAGCTCGGCTGGCCATCGATCGGCGCTGGAGCGCGCAGCTCCGGCCGCGCCGCCGTCTCTGCAGCACGCCGCGCCGTCAGTCGATGCCGACGCGCCGTCCCAGCCGCCGGAGAGTCGGCCACGCCGAGCGACCGCGGCTGACCGCCTCGGGGCACCGCGCGGAGGTGCGGCGGTGGCCAGCCCCAGGCCCGACTTCAGCTCCCTGTGCACATCGGCGCGAGCAAGCAGTGTCGTCGGTGACCTGAAGCGGGCACGCCGGCGCCCGGCCGGAGCGGGTCGAGTGGACCGCCGAGGAACTGGCGCGGGAAGACCCCGCCGCCCGCGGCCGTGCTGACCCCCAACTGCATGGGCTTCGTTTGAACCGCGTGCTGGAGAGGCCCCGAATGTGAACTGCAGCTGCAGCTGCAGCCCGCAGCTGAGAGGGCAGCTCGTGTCTGCCTTGTGGAAGAGGTGTCAGTGGTGTTGACTTTCTGTTGAGCGCGCGCTGAGGTCGTGCGGGAAGACAAAGATATCCGGTCTGAAACAGTCCACGGACCCCACTTGGTGCGATGCCGGCGGGTGGTGAGCGTGATCTCCGGGCCGCTGCGTGAGGGTGTGCGCTGCGAGAGGGCTCACCGGCGCCTGCTGACGGCGCCGGCCGGACCGTACCGGCGCGCCATGTAGCTCCAGCCACCGTGCAGCCATGCAGCAGGTCCTGCGTAACATGGAGTACTTCCGGGACTACCTGGCCTACCAGCAACGGCGCGAACAGCGCGAGCAGCACCGGCGGCGGCGCGAGCAGCGCATGACGCGCAGTCTACCGGAGCCGGTGCCGGCTGCGGCGGCACCGGCGGCCGCGGCCGACACGGGCTCGGAGAGCGAGCCGGACGGCGGCCGGGCGCCGCGCCGGTCACGCGCCGCCGCCAAGATGCGTCGCCGGCTCAGCCACGACATCAGCGCCTACCAGGCGCGCGCACGAGTACGGAGCGAGGCATGGATGCCGGCGGCGCGTGCCCGACGGTCCGGCGCGGGGGGGGGGGGGGGGCACATCGCTGCATGCCGTCGCTTGGCCCTGCTAGACGTCCCGTAAAGGAGCAAACTACGTCGGATATATGTACTACAAGCATGGCTATTTTGTAATAGCTGCGATCATTGTTGATGGAATAGGAGCTCTTGGCTTCACGCCTGAGTCACAGGTGGCTGGCATAGACTGTCGTCGGGGTGTTCGACTTCTCATCCTGCGTGCTGATGCGTGGCACCCCTCAGCTCTGTGGTGGAGTGGGATGTGGCACCTGTTGGGCCGCCGTACGGCTGCACGCGCCGCTCCGGCCTCCCGCGAACGATGTCACCGGTTTGAAGCGTCGAACGAGGCGCGCTGGCGCTCGATCGACGCACCTGGGTTGAGGCTGCAGCTCTCGGAGGTCTCAGGGTAGTGTGAGCGGCTGACAGGTGCTCGTTTTGTAATCTCATCGACGAGCTGTCGGAGACAACGAGATGGAGGAGTGGAAAAACTGCACGGGGAGCCGCCTGCTCGGCAGTTTTGAGCCTAGTTGGGTGAACCGTTCCTTCACCAAACGCATGTTCCCGCGCTCTTCTCAGCTTCTCCGTGGGTCAAACTCGGCGTAACTGACGGCGTACGCTCGCGTCGGCTGGCAGCCGGGCTCGGGCAAGTGGCCGATGCGCAGTGCGGTGGGCTGGGCGCGGTGCACGACCCACCATTGACCGGCACTGTGACGGGGACACGCCGCCGGCGGGGATCAATGCGGCTGACGGTGGCGGCTTGGGGGTGGCGGCGGGGCGGGGTGGCCGCCTCATCGGCACCTGTCGTCGGCCCGCTCGCCGGTGCCGGCAGGTCGGACACGCACGTCCCGCCGCCGCGGCGCGGGGGTCGCGCGGCCGTGCCATCGCTGTGGGGTCACAGCAGTAATGTCACGTGCTGATGGGGCGTGTCGGAGGGTCGCTGCGATGCTGTCACGCAGTTGAGGGCCTCATGTCACCTGACCGCGAACCGGAGCCGTTGGCTTCCGTACGAGCCCCGGCCATTGTTCGGTGGCTCGCGCGCCGCGGTACTGCAACAGGCGTGTTGTGCGAACGCAACGCCGGGGCTCAGCGGCCGTGGCCAGGCGGGACAAGCGGCGGATGCTTCGGGTGTTCTGCGCACCGGCTGATAGCGCTTCCGAAGACTGCCGTGCGCTCGCGGAGACGCTGTTGCACCAAGGAGGACGCATTCTTGAAGTGGGACGCTAGTGGATGACTCTAAAATCTATTATTGCAAATAATGTTCCGAAAATGCGCGTACCAATAGGTATGTTTGTGTTACACGTGTACGTAGAGGGCAGGACAATGAGTCAACACGCGACTGGTATGCACCGCTGCTGCGGTGTATACCAGCCCCGTATTTTGTTGACACAATTTGCATTTTGTGGCTCCGGCAAGCGTTCATAAATGCGTACCCAATGCCACAGTATTTTCACGGAAGGGCGACTATCGGCATAGCTGAAGACACCGTGGGACTTTGTAGTGGATGATGCAATGTTCTTCGCATGTAACCCAACAAATTTATGTTAGCTGCACCCAATCCCGGCCAATATAACCCTTTAACAATTGCTATGTACCATGAACGTCTTTTGGATTCGGACACATGCTCTGCATTCTGACGAGATAACAGTTAATAATAATATGCTTCCCTTCCGGCTGCATCGGATTATTGTTGTTGTTTTCGTTGCTTGTGCTTTTGTCTGACATTCACAGCACCTGAAACCAGGAGTTCCTTTCGTTCTTCCAGCCCGTCCGGTGCTGAGCAAATCTGCCAGAAACGGCGTAAGACATTGACAGTTGCATCGTTTTTGTGTGTCAGCTATATTATGCCCAATTAAAACGTTCCGGTTTCTGGACACTGGCGAAGACTGATCACCTTGTTAAAACCATCGGCGTCTTGCGTGCTAATTGCTGACCGTAAGGGTGGTCGGCTAACTCTTTTGTTCTTTTTCAGCTCCAGAATGACCCACTAGCGAAACCACGGCAGCCACCAACTAAACCGGTGAGTCCGCGACGCCGCGGGCGCCGCGCAGATCGCCGCAGTATATCGCATATATATATATATATATATATATATATATATATATATATATATATATATATGTATATATATATATATATATGTATGTATATATGTGTGTGTGTGTGTGTCATGTAAGTGTATCATATGTATCTTCACACAATGTTAGACCGATCAAAAAATGTAACAATTCCCTGATTGAGTTTTCGACGTTCTTCAACCTCGCCTAAACCCTACAGTTTCAGGATCCGGCAAGCTATGCATGCCTGCTGCTCGTATGCTACGGGATTTCAGACTGCATTCAATAACGACTCCATCAATACTGGCCTAACATTCTCAGACCGCCCGTGATAATGAGTTAGGTTTGGCTGTGCGGCACGTGACCGCTGAGTGATGTTCATCGCGCCGCTGCATTTATCCGCAGTGATTCCGGGTCGGTGCTTTGAACAGCTGTCGTGCCGGTCGGTCCCGTAGCGTGTCCTCCCGCCGTACTGGTCAGCTCCGAAGAGAATCCTCCCGCCTTGTCAGTGAGCAGTCCCCGAGGCGTGTCCCCCCGCTTTGTCAGTGAACAGTCCCTGAGGTGTGTCCTCTCGCCTTGTCAGTGAGCAGTCCCCGAGGCGTTTCCTCCCGCCGTACTGGTCAGCCCCGGGGCTTGTCCTCCCGCCTTGTCAGTGAACAGTCCCCGAGGCGTGTCCTCTCGCCTCGTCAGTGAGCAGTCCCTGAGGCGTGTCCTCCCGCCTTGTCAGTGAGCAGTCCCCGGGACTTGTCCTCTCGTCTTGTCAGTGAGCAGCTCCCGAGGCGTGTCCTCTCGCCTTGTCAGTGAGCAGTTCCCGGGGCGTGTCCTCCCGCCTTGTCAGTGAGCAGTCCCCGAGGCACGTCCTCCCGTGTATTGCCTTCTTGGCACTAGTAGCCGTGAGCTCAGCTGCCGACTCAAAAGCCCAGCGTCTGGACAAATTTCCTGGAGGTGCTCTGGCACAGAAACAACTAATCAGCATTATCAGGCTGATCGGACCATTTTTCGTCCTGCTTTCCGCTCTCGTTGCCGTATGGGCACGCACGCACGGCAACACTTCAGCGTTCCCGCGCACTTGAGGCTGGTGGTCGGCTCAATGCCGACATTCGCGGTCGGCCTCTCCTGACAACGTGGTGTCGGTTTACGGTCCGTGCGGGACGTCCCAGCGGGAGACGCGTCGGCCTGCGTCTGGCACACGCTCCTGGTCAGCCTGCGGGGACCATGGGTCCGTTCTCTCGGCGGCGGACCTTCCGGGCCGGAGCGGCGCGCCCGGGCGGCCGTGGGACGGCCCGCGGCGGGTGGAGCCGGCGGGGCCCGGCTCTGACCGGTTGGGCGGCCGCTCGGCGCCGCGCGCCGGCCGGTTCTGCGGCGCCGCCGGCCCGACTCCCGTCCGCAACGCGCTCCCTTATCTCAGGTGCGGCCACGGCCAGATCAATTCGGCTGTATCTAATCGCGGCGTGCAGCCCGGTTGGCCGGGTCGATTCGTGGCCGCTGCGGTCCGAGGCGCAGTGTGTCGCCGACGGCAGCGCCCGCGGTGGAGTGCTGCGGCGTTCCCGCACCCCAGCAGCCGCCCGGGCGCGGGTGCGGCGGAGCGGGGGGAGTGCAGCGGGGTGCGGACCGAACTGACGCGGGGCGACCTCAGAGAAGAGCCGGGGCTTTACTGGCTGCCGGAAGCGGGGAAGGACGACGGTTCGAGCGGTGGCTGAAGTCCACCCAGCGGACTGCGACGGACGAATCCCGTGGTGGGAATCGAATCAGAAGTTGTAAGTGATTCAGCGGATTAAGTTCGGGCTGTCAACCGGAAACGGCATGTGATCGGTGGCCTGCCGGTGAAGCCAGTGACTCGACCGGTGAGAGCGGCGTGGCGGCTATGAGGTGCGCGTGACACCGTGGCCAGACACCAGCTGCAAAGCGCGGGCACAGGTAAATCTGCATACAAAATGGGAATTTGCGCGTGAGCTTCTGGTCCAATCTCTCCGCACTTGATGGGAGTCGCAGGTGCGACTCAGGGATGGAAAGCACTTCGAAACGCTGAGATGGAAAGGATTGCTTCTAGGGACAAATGTAGCATAGAATGGGGCATATCTGACTGTAATAGAAGCTTTGCTGGAATGACCCATTACCTCCGAACGGCACGTGCTGCCCGCCAGGTCCTTGTGACCCGCCGAGAGACGTGTTCGTGCTTTGGATGGGTGGCAATCAGCTGCGTGGTCACGAGCTCCGGGCGTCTGGGTCCAGCGTCGCGTCCATCAGCCTGTGCTGAACATTATTCGGCACCAGTCAGGAGTCCAGTCGGCGCCAGTCAGGAGTCCAGTCGGCACCAGTCGGGAGTTCAGTCGGCACCAGTCAGGAGCCCAGTTGGCACCAGTCAGGAGTCCAGTCGGGAGTCCAGTTTGCACCAGTCGGGAGTCCAGTCGGCACCAGTCGGGAGTCCAGTCGGCACCTGTTGGGAGTCCAGTCGGGAGTCAAATTAGCACCAGTCAGGAGTCCAGCCAACACCAGTCAGGAGTCCATTCGGCCACTATGATTCCCGCCAATCGGAGAGGATGATCAGCTGGCGCCATTCAGCAGTCCTCCGCCGCACTCTCGCGCCATGAGCGCAACCTGGGCTCCCGCTGGCGCGCGAGCTTCGCGACGGTGCGCCGCAGAACCAGGAGAACGCCGTCCCGCAGGCTGACGGGGCCGGCGCTGCTGAGCCAGCGACGACTCGCCTCACCAGCGGAGACGCTCCGCAGCAGCGTGTGACGAGCCGTGCGGCGGACGCTTTTGACGTAGAAGAACGCCGGCCGCCAGCTCAGCTGCGCCGGCGGCCGCCGGTCGGGCCGTAACGAGATCAGAGCGGTGTGCGCGCGGCTGCAGGACCGGTCCCACCGGGGCCGACTCGGCACGGTGCGACGCGAACGACCGGCGGCCCGGTCTGAGACGGTGCTGACGGCGCGGCTGTGACCTGACGCCTGAGTCGGGGTCGACCCCCTGTGTGTCGGGGATTGGCCGGCACTCCCGCGGTCGGTGTACCTGGAGTCGACTGGCGCCCCTCAGGTTGGTGTACCGGGAGTCGACTCACGCTCCTCTGGTCGGTGTGCCAGGAGTCGACTGACGACCCCTGGTCGGTGTGCCGGGAGTCGATTGGCGCCCCCTGGTCGGTGTGTCGGGAGTCGACTGGCGCCCTTCTGTTCGGTGTACCGGGAGTCGATTGGCGCCCCCTGGTCCGTGTACCGGGAGTCGGCTGACGCCTCCCTGGTCGGTGTGTCGGGAGTCGACAGCCGTCCATCTGGTCGGTAAATATTTACGGCCGCCGCTGGTGCCGGCCAATCAGCCGGCCAGCGTCGCTGTTGACGGGTCCCTGCTCCAGCCGCGGCCCCGGCTCCGGCCCCGGCCCGGCTTCGGCCCCTGCTCCAGCCGCGGCTTCGGCTCCGGCCCCGGCCCGGCTTCGGCCCCTGCTCCAGCCGCGGCTTCGACTCCGGCCCCGGCCCGGCTCCGGCCCCGGCCCGGCTTCAGCCCCTGCTCCAGTCGCGGCTCCGGCTCCGGCTCCGGCTCCGGCCTCGGGTTGGGCTTCGGTCTCTGCCCCACCAAACCAGGCACAGAACCAAATGCCTGGCATGCATGTTATGAGAGTCCTTCATATGGTGACATACACTGAATTCGTCGAATTTCTGGAGTGATGCAGTGCGTGCATTGGCTGCGCTAACGCTTAGTCGCCCACATGCTGGTTTTCTGACCTCGTGACCGAAAGGTTGCTTGAAAAGGAAAGATTGCTCGCCAAGATCACGCATAATTCGACTGCCACGCGCACAGCCCATTACACAGAGTACCACTGGCACGCCGCCGGCTGGAGCTGGAGCTCACCTCCACGCCACACCGACGCGGGGAGAGCACCGCAGTCCCGCCCTGCAGCCGGCAGCGGTCCGCGCGCCTATCGCGGCGCCACACGCTCGTGAGAACAAGGGCTGGCTCTGTCTGTCCACCGCGGCGGCGGCGGCCGGTGGCGGCACACGTGCTGTCTTCACAGGCCCGCCGCCCGCGGACGCCGGCGGCCGCGGCTTCGCGCCGTGTCACCGTATCAGCGCCACCTGCCGGCGGGCGGCCACTTCGGCATTTGCACAATGGACGCCCTGATCGAGTCGGTTTGCTCGACCGGCACGCCAGTATCGCCGCGTCGTGTCAACAGTGCGGCGGCAGTGTCACCAAGGTCATGCTGCAGCAGAGGCCCGATCCGCGTCCGACGCTCGCTCGTGAATTGGCGAGCTCCTTCTGCTCAAGTGGCACTTGGCGTCGGCTTATTGGAGCGATTAACACCAGACGATAGGAACCGAACTTTCCGGACGCAGTCGCTCTTGCTGCCACGGCCGGCCGGAACCCGTTCCCACGGATGGGGCCGCCTCAGGGCAAGTTCCCGGTCAACTTTGAGAAGAAACATCGAGCTAGGAAACCCCAGCGCAGCGCGGTCTGGCGGTTATCTGCGCAGACTATTTTAATGATGACCTGTGCCGGCTTGCTCTGTTACAGCTCCCTCAGGGCATATTGGTGGCTGGGCGGAGGTCTCCGTGCTGACCTGTGCCGGGTTACTGTTAACAGGGGTCGCTCTGTTACAGCTCCCTCAGGGCAGGTTGGTGGCTGAGCGGTGGTCTCCGTGCTGACCTGTGCCGGCTCGCTCTGTTTACAGCTCCCTCAGGGCAGGTTAGTGGCTAAGCGGTGGTCTCCGTGCTGACCTGTGCCCGTTCGCTCCGTTACAGCTCCCTCAGGGCAGGTTGGTGGCTGGGCGGAGGTCTCGGGAGCGGCCAGGTCAGACCAGCATGGAGCTCAACTTCGTCACCCAGCGCGTGATGGCGCTCTGCTTTCCACCGGGCGTTGATGCTGCCACCTACCGGGAAAATCTACGGGAAGTGGCGCAGATGCTGCAGACCAAGCACGGCGACAGCTACATGGTAATTGGGATTAGAGCTGTGCCGGTCTTTTGGTGATGGGTGGACCGGTGGAATGTGGTCCTGCCGGTAAGGATCCATTTTGCCGAGGATTAACGCAAACGTCTTGTAATTGACAGGAAGGCATTCAATTATTGGTGTCTGGAAACCAATAGATACCCGGTCATGTTGAAACTGAAAGATTCCCGGACCTACTGGAACTAATAGGTTCCAAAAGGTTCTCTTTGAAGGGTAGGGCGTATGAGGAAGTGATGTAATTTGATTTGCTAAGAACGACTAGAACACTGTGTTTAAAAAAAAAACAATTCAGCTTAACCAACTGCGAACAATGTCGTGTCAGCACTGTAGCGATGCGAAAGAAGTCAACCTCAGCCAAATGCCGTGGCGTCGATGTGGGCGTACTCAACAGACAAGACGTCGGACGTAGTAACCCGCTCTGTCAATGCGCCTCCGTCCGACCGGAGTGAGTCTGTGCAGCAGAATATGCGTGACGCTAACACCGGCTGACGTGACGACCGTGTAGTCGGATGGTCTATGCAGTGGTTACGCGTGACACACATGCAGACAGTCATGACACGCACGAGCGAAGCGTCATCTGGAAGTTCCGGAACCACGCTGCCTAGGCCTGAGTGAGCACGACCTGAGCTGAGCTGAGCTGAGCTGAGATGAGTACGACATGAGCTGAGCCAAGCCAAGCTGAGCTAAGCTGAGCTGAGCTGGCCTGAGCTACGCTGGCCTGAGCTAAACTGAGCTGACCTGAACTGACCTGACCTGACCCGCCCTGTGCGGTACGCCGCAGATCTTCAACCTGTCGGAGCGCCGTCCGGAGCTGTCGGAGCTGCACCGCCAGGTGGCCGAGTACGGCTGGCCCGAGACGCTGGCGCCGCCGCTCGACAAGCTCTGCAGCATCTGCAAGGCCATCGACAGCTGGACGGCTGCCCAGCCGCACAACGTGGCGGTGCTGCACTCTCGCGGCGACAGCGGCGACAGGTACCCGGCGCCGGCGCCCTCAGGGACTCCCGTCGCCCTCGGTACCCGGCACCGGCGGGGGTCCGGCACAGGGTGTACCCTGCGGGCATTTGGCATCGGACGTACCGGGCACCTGGTACCGCATACGGCATCTCAGATACAGTCATTCGGCATGGGATATGCCTGACACCCGCGTCACCAAACGCCAGACGTACCAGGCATAAGAGATACCTGACGCCCGGCGGACACCCTCTACCCCGGCAGTCCGGCACCGCAAATACCCGGCAGCCTTCACAGCCGGCGCCAGGAGTCCTGGTCACCCTTGCCACCGTTACCACATATACGTTGCAGCCTTTTTATATGCACCTGGCATCCTACCACTGATGCGGCCGACACTTTAATAGAAATGTAGAATATGTACACAATAACCGTTGCTGTCGGCACCCAGTAGTAGATATAGCTGGTTTCCAGCATCCAGCACCACGCCTATGCGACACCCGACACTAGATACACCTGGCACCCGACACCAGCCCCCTCCCCCCTCCTCCCTCCCCCGTCACCCATTTGAAGTCAATAGCTCCTGTGACATCGTTCCTCATGTGTGGAGCTTTGTATTCCATTAGGGACCCTGATTATCCTCACCCATGCTTGCCTGACCTCAATGTGAGACCAGATCACACACCGTGAAAGAACACTGCCCCCCCCCCCGCAAAAAGACGGAGCAGTTAGATAACAAAACAGTCCTAGAAAATATGGCACGCTCCATGAAACATGGCACGACTCCATGAAATATGACACGCAACGGCACGACTCCTCCGCCATCGCCTCGCCCCGCCAAGCGATGGCACGGGTTCGCCACCATCGGCCTGGCACGCCCAGACGCTGGCACGGCCTCGACACGTCAGGCCTTTGTCCGGCCGCGATCTGCGCCGTTGTTTTTGCAGAGGTGGGCGGGGGAGGGGCGTTATCTTTCCCGTCGTCGGCTCCGACGGCCGCCGGCTGCAGCGCGCCGAGCCGCTGAAGCTGGCAGGCGGCGCCGGGCTGGGCCAGACCTGACTGCCGCACTGTCCCGACATGTTGTTTGTGGCCAGGTGTCTTCGGCACTGACGTCGTTCCGGCGAATACAGATCTGCACTGCGTTCGTGTTCAGCGATTGCAGCCGTTTCAACACGGCGTCGCCACCACGCGGATTTCTCAGTTCTCATCACCCACCGGGTCAGCGCGCCACAGTAACCTGACGCGTGACGTGGCGTGACGTGACGTGTCGCGTCGGACGTCGGACGCGTCACGCGTCACGCAGCGTCTCGGCTGCGCGCTCTACCCGGCTCACCGTCGACGGCGGGCGTTGTTGCAGAGGCGGCTGGGACCGGATTGGCGTGGTCGTCAGCGCGTACATCCACTACTTCCAACATCTGCCGCAGTCCGGAGCAGGCGCTCGACAGGTTCGCCATGAAGAAGTTCTTTGACGACAAGATCCGACACCTGGACCATCCGAGCCAGAAAACGGTGAGCTGGGGCGTGGCGCCTGCAACGGTGTCGGGCGTTAGCCAAGCTGTTTGCTGAGGCTGAGTATCCGCCTGGGCGTTGCGTACCCGGCGGATATTGCGTACTCAGGCGTACCCGTACCGTCGGAGGGCATTGGTTTACTATCGGAGGCGAGCACGCGAACGTGGTGCTTTCAATATGATCACGCTCCGCCCATAGCCCATTGTGTTGCGGACGAAAGCAGACCGCGAATAAGGGAAATGTTTCATTTGGTCAGGATCGGTTGAGGGTGGAACCGCCGTACAATATCATCTTCACATTGAGAATGCAGTTGGAAATACATATGTTTGATGGGCTTGTAGCAGTCCTGCGCGATGGCCAGGCCGGTTTTACGTTGTGGAAGGAGATTCGCCGGGTGTCCAGTGCGCTGGATCGACAGGGATCAGAGCATGCTGGTCATTATGCATGCATATCTTGTTTTATTGATGCTGCGCCCAGAACTTTAAAAACGCCCGTCATGGCCTGCTCGCGTTTTTCTAGACGCGTGCATTGCCAGTACGATGCAGAACATTTCAGTCCAGCTCGTTGTAAGCATCAGCGCCACAGGCACGACGGCAAGACGTGTTTCTGGAATACATTATCTTTCACGTCCTTTGGCGTGCAACTACGTGCCACCGCACCGCGCGCTCCCGACGAATGTCGTCTGTGATTCGACATGGCACCTAACGCCACTCGTGAACAGGCGACACTGCACCTGCACCCATACGCCATGACAGCGGCGATGGACGGCGACCATTGGCGTTCATTGAATGCGGTGCCTCGGACCTCATTGGCGTGCGGCCGGCCGGTTTTGTAGTGAGCCGGGCTTCCGTGCTGGCTGACGCCGGCGGCTTGCCGGCACGGCGTGTCTGACTTTGCTGCGGGCCGGTGGAGAGCTGGGTCGGTGGGTGGAGCCCGCAGTCGCCCCTGGCCTCAACCAGAGGAGGTGCCTCGGACCTCATTGGCTTGCGGCCGGCCGGTTTTGTAGTGAGCCGGGCTTCCGTGCTGGCTGACGCCGGCGGCTTGCCGGCACGGCGTGTCTGACTTTGCTGCGGGCCGGTGGAGAGGTGGGTCGGTGGGTGGAGCCCGCAGTCGCCCCCTGGCCTCACCAGGGAGGTGGAGGGGTGGGGTCGGGGGGGCGTCCGCCGCCACTCGCGTTCCGGACAATGACTCTGAGAGTCGCCTGCAGCGAATGACGTCTGCCAGCTCACTCCCCCCCCCCCCTATAGCTGCCGGAGGCGATGGCCGGGAGAAGGAGGGGGGGGGGGGGGGCAGTGGCGGTGGCCGGGCCCGCTTCCTCGCCTTATCTCTGTCTTCAGTAGGGACTTCACGGCTCGTTAAAACCAACCCAACGACGCCCAAGTGGAGTGGAAACGTGTCAGATTGGGAGCAGAACTTTGGGAAAAGTACGGGTGAGACGCTTACGAGATGCTAGATACAGCCATAGCTCCATGAGAAGTGGGTGGACCGGATGAAGGAAGCCTCACCCGTGGGGCCTGTAGACCCCAGGGAGCGTGTCCCTCAGCAGAGGCGTCTCCGGGCCGGTCGGGCGCCACGCTCCGCGGCTGGCTCGTCAGCGGCGCCCCAGCGGCAGGCTGGCGGTGGACGGAGCTGACTCGGGCACACTGGCTGCTCAGTCCTCGTGTCTAATGCCCTTCAAAATGGGGAGTCCACTGCCACCGCGACAACCTGCGCGGGACAATGGAATGCCCGTCACCGCGTCGGCCCCACGCGTGACGTTGGTGCGAGCGGTGGCTCACTGTTACCGCGCGTTGTCAGGTACGTCAACTACTTCGCCGGCCTGCTGTCGGGCCTGATCCAGATCAACAGTAGCCCCCTGGGTCTGCACCACCTGGTGCTGGTGGGCTCGCCGCAGCTGCGGCCCGCCGGCGGCTGTCGCATCTTCGTCCGCGTCTACCAGGGCATGGTGCCGGTCTGGACGTCCGCCGTCTACAGCGTCGACGACCGCGCCAAGTACACCGTCATCAGGTCAGGCGCAGTTGTGGGCGGCTGGTGGCCACTGGGCCGTGCGTGCCGTCATCAGACATTTGTATTTACGGCGCGTG